TACCAAGGGGTATCGCTCACTTTTCAAACACATCGATATGAGAGGCCAATATTTGCATAGAAATATTTTCGATATTTTAAATGAGCGACTCCCCTTGTATTATACATAACAAAATATCCGTACGACTCGTTTTGCGTTTAAAAAATATCTTGACTCACCGAAAATGACCAAAAAAAAAAAAACCTGAGCTGATGCCAGTACAATTCCTATGCATGATTTGGCATCAATTTCTATTTATTCCATTAGCTGTTATTGAGGTTTAAAGTGTTTGAGTAGTGCGAGACAGAGTTAGTTTTTAGTCAAATGGGCAACAAAAACATTATGATTTTTGGACACTGACCTTTATGCACGCCAATTCTGTATGAAGAAAACAACACGCAAAAAGAGAGAGAGAGAAAGAGAGAGAGAGAGAGACCAAAGTGAAGTGAAAAAAGTATCGGTACCGGTTACATTTGAAATGCGAAAACTAGTTTTGTGTAAAGCGGTCGAGTACCTCGCATGATTTTGTAATAGTAAAGGATGAACGAAAAAAAAATGTTTTTTTAAAAAAATGCATCGTCGGACTGTACATTAGTCAAGTGTATAATATTTTAACGTTCTCTGCTGCTCGAGATCTCAGTTTTACGATGCACCGCGTTTTGTCTGCGATTCTTTTTCGAGACAGAAGAGATACGCTCTGCCAATAGAATCTTATAGCGGACAATATGTGTGCCGCCAAAATGAATTTGCAGACGAGACAAGAGAAAAAACCCGTTCGACGTTTTAATGCTGAAGTCAACTTGTTTACCACTCACTTTGTTGAACTTTATTGATTTATAATTCACAGAATATGAGATCAATACACTCATTTTCGTTAATTGCAATTGTGAATGATCAAAAGAAATGCGCATCGCGTGCTACTAAGGGTCTCAGATAAAAAAAAATCGTCGACGACAGGGAAAAGATCAAAAGGTATCAGGTTTTTTTTCACCTTTGTTCTCATCTGATTTACACTGTTACCGTGCGCGGACACGTCAATTAAGACAGAATATGCATTATTACAAATGACTCAATTGGGGATTTTGGTAAAAAAATGAAAAAAAAAATTGCATATTGATTGTATCAGTTGTGTAACAAACACAACAAAGGATTACCAAAGATCGTCAACAAATTAAAATGTTTACACCGGTTTTTGAAATGATGGGGAATTTTTGAATTGAAATTGGGGAATTGATTTTTTCGAAGAAATAAAATCATTTAAAAAAAATATATAATTCGAGAAAAAGCAATGACTCTGAATTCACGTTTTTATACGTGAGAACAAAGAAGTTGGCTCTTAGAAATTGTGAATGAACACAGAACGATCACCTGACTCAGCACGTTTCTGTGGAATTTTTTTTTTGGACATCATTTCGTTGAATCGATTCATATGAACATATGATTCATGTCTTTCTCTCTATCAGCCAAAAGGGATCACCTTAGTTCGAATTTGGACTACAACAACTACTAACAAATTGTAGTAACAATCACTTGTTCGGTTCAATATTCAGTCGCCATGTAGACCCCTGGATCAAATATTTTAATTGAACGACCAAAAATGGTTGCAATGAAGTCTTAAAACTGTTGAACCCAAAAGAGACCAAACGAAGCCCAAAGAAGAGCGCCAATCGAATTGTGTACGCGCGTGTGTATTAACATAATGAGAAATTCGCATACATGGATACATATGTGTGGTTGGGTGCTGTGTTGCACCACAAGTCTCTTTTTATTTTCATTATCAAATCACTTGGCTACGTATTGTCTTCAAAGTTTGACGTGAATAAGGAAAAGTACAGTTCGAAACAGTTTGCTCAGTGTGTTTGTATTTGTCGGCTGTTTGACTGTCTATCGGTTGCGCCACACATGTTCTTTTCAATACAACATTGTATAATTTACTTGATTTTTCCGTTTTGTCAACGATCTCAAAGTTTCGATTGCAAAATCCATCGATATAAACCGAATTATTCATTTGTCACATTTGTATCGTTTGGTGATCGTTCTAACGCGCACACCTACTGTTATCTCAATTTTTGAAAATTACGCGAATTGTTTACCATACATTACACACGTTATGCTTTTAACGGATAAGTAACGGAGATTAATTGTTGTACATTTTTTCTTTTTTTTTGTGTTTGTGGCTTTCGTAAATTTGGTGTTTAATGTTATAATTTTTGTTCATTGTTTTCTTACGTGAATGCAATAAAAGAAAAAAAAACGAAGAAAATTACAAAAAAAAAAAACAAGTGTGTTTATGTGTGTAATATGCGCACCATACAATTTATTACACTTCAAAAAGGTTTTACTTTTGAAACAAAAAAGACGCATATCATAGTTTGACAGCGACCCTTTGTGATTTAAATTCATTTTTTTGTTGTTTGCTAATGTTTTAACAAATTGAGAAAAAAAATATTTATATAAAAAAATGCGTGGCTTTACCGGTCCAATCGAAGAGATTATTCTCAGTGTTTCACGTTTAAATTTCTCCGAACTTTCATCACGTTATACACGATCCCGATCCAGATCCCGATCAAAATGTGTTAGTATTTGTTTGCATGAATATTGTCAGGTTTATCAAAACGTTTTTGGTATCAACTGAGGGTTTTTTTATCAAATCATATTTTTTTTCTATAAAAATCAATTTCAGACATTCTTTGTGATATTTTGTTTTCTATTTTTCACTTTTGAAAAGAAGACATTCCATTTATGGTGATCGTATGGAAGTGAGAGCAATTATCAGATTTTTCCTAAAAGGTTAACAATTTTTTGAATGAAATTTAAAAAAAAGAGCATGGAACAAATTGAATTTGAACGATTGCACACGTTTTCTACATATATATACACCGAAATGTGACTGTTGCAATGTTGCACTAACGATGTCTCACAGATTGAATATTTGTTATTTTTTTTAATTGTTTATTTTTTCGCGTTGTGTTTGTAATTAGCTAGCCGTGTTCCAATTCCAAGCGCAAATTTAGTTGTTATTAAATAGTTTACTACAATTGTAGTTGTTTAAACATGTCGACAGCTTCATCTCTGCTTTTTTTCTACTCTTTTAATTCACGGTTTTTGTAAGTGCGTGGCAAATTTGGTCAATTTCGAATTTCGAATTGAATGGAATTTTTCGGAGAAGAGAATAAGAGAGAACGAGAAAGAGTGAGAGCAGAAAAATGAAGAGAGAGCAAGAGCGAGAGCCTAAACGATATAGAGAAAGAGCAGAAGATAGATGAAGGGAGAAAGAGTGTGAGAGAGAGAGAACGAAAGTGTCCAAATAAACTCGATGCGTTTCTAAATTCGTTCGAAGTGCGAACATCTTTGATTTTTTTTGTAATTTATCTACCCCACGTTCGGATGACAACGTTTTATGTGCGTAGCTCTAAAAACGAGTGTATCAATGCTAATTGAATTGAAAATATACATTTATATGAACCACATTACCATATAAATAACAACTATTTGGAAAACCCATTCGTCGATCGAAATGAAGTGAATGCTTTTTTGTTTCGATTTCACACGGCTCCCGTTGTTGTATAACACAAGTGACACTCGATATCGATTCATGCGAAAACTACTTGAAATTGATTTTAAAAAAGAAAAAAAAAAGAAACTGTGTGATGTAAATGTCGCGATAAAATGCAATTATTGTATTTTGAGTGTTTAGTTATGAGCAATTAAATAAGTTATCTATTTTGTCGCGATTTGATTTCACGGGTTTATCGTCGATACAAGTCCTTGCAATTTTTTCGATATCAAAATTGGCAATCGATTTGGCTTTATCTGTCTGTTTTGACAATTATATTTCTTCATTGATTTTTTTATGGTTTTTTCTTCTCCTTCGCATATGCTACTTCATTTTTGATATTTGTAAAAGATTTTGAATGTCTTACATATGTCACACTATCTAGCCGCTTGTTTCTTTCAACAATAACAACAACAAAAAGCACAAAAACAGAATTATAAGTAAACAAGGTGTTTGTTATAAACAAACATGCATTACATGCAATTTTTATCGAAATGCTTACATTTACACTTGAGCCGAATTTCGTTCGATCGTGAATTATGACAGGATAAATTAATGCAAAATCGATTCATTCATAGCCGAATCAAAGTTGTTCGACGCTTAGATTTGCGTTTTTATTTTATTTTTTACGAAGGTAAAAACGTTTGCTTTTTCCACTCAAATGATTGATTTTTTTTTTCGTTAATTCAATCGAAGAAATGCATGTATTCGACAAGAAATTGACACACGATAAGACTTTTGAACAAAAATAATTTATTGAAAATAATTTGTAACACAAGAATTTGTATGTTTGAAAATTGTTATCCTACAATCGTTACATATCCGGTGCCACAAATCAGATGTTGACAAAATACGCGGCCATGCCTAAAAGACGATGCAAAACAACGGAACATAATCAACATTGGCGTGCGAAGTTTTACATGTGCCTTTGTAAACAAATCGCATTGACAAACATTCAAACTTAACTGCACATTCATTTGCATTTGTAAATGCGTTTGCGTCAACGTAAAAATGGCGCCTATTTTCAGGTCCCCAACAATTTATTACCCGATCACATTCTTCCTCGTGAAATTAATAATAATATTTGTAATCGAAATGACAATATATGATTAATTGTTTAAGTTTTATTAATTAATTTGAAATAAATTGCAGACGATTTATAACCAAACGAGATCTAACAAATTAACGTCGTTGTCGGAAGGCTTTTGTGGGATTTTACTGTTGTTGTTCCTTTTGTAGACGTTAGAATTAGATTCTGTTTTTAGTTTTATTTATTTCCTTTTCATTTTTTTTTTCGTTTACCATCTAATTTATATTTTGAAGTCAACGTTTACACATGTAATAATAATAATCATAATAATAATAATGTTTTAATATGTTTCAATGTAAATGTTTATAAATTTCAATCGAATATCGAGTATAATAGTCGCTAACTGATTTCTGATTTTGTTCATTCTCCGTTCAGACATTAAATCGGTGTGGTGATTCGATGGGTACGCTCAGTCGTCATTTATTACAATACATTGAATCAAATGATTTATCCGGTCTGAAGACGTTTTTGGATACACGGCATTTACCGATTGACGATCGAGATGAAGTGAGTATACTAACGATCAGTTCGGTCGTTATAAGTGACATTTCGTTTTTATAATTATAATCCCCCCGAAAATTCCAATTTTTCCTTAATTTTCTTCTCCAATTTCCATTAGAATGGTCAAACGGTTCTTATGGTTGCATCGGCCAAGGGTCTATTGCCATTTGTCCGTGAATTGATGACACGTGGTGCCGATGTGCAAGCCGAAGATTTTGATAATTGGTCAGCACTGCTGAATGCAGCAAAAAATGGTCACACCGAAGTGGTACGATTGCTTGTTGAGCATGGTGCCGACATTGAACATCGTGATATGGGCGGTTGGACGGCACTCATGTGGAGTGCCTATTACGGCCACACCGACATCGCTTCCATACTTTTGGACAAAGGTGCCGATATATTTGCCCATGGTAATTTTCATTTGGGCTCATTATTATGGGCGGCCGGTCGTGGTCACAAAGAAATCGTTCATATGCTGGTACAACGTGGTGCAAAAGTTAATGTCGGTGACAAATATGGAACGACCGCATTGGTATGGGCATGCCGACGTGGTAACGCCGATATTGTTGAAATTTTGCTAAAAGCCGGTGCAAATGTCGATACGGCCGGTATGTATTCATGGACAGCATTATTGGTCGCTGTATCGGGTGGCCATCAGGAATGTGTTTCATTATTATTGGAACGTAGACCAAATGTAAATGCCTTGGACAAAGATGGTTTAACGGCGTTGAGTATTGCGTGCCGTGAGGGTTTACATGAGATTGCATCGGCATTGATTGCGGCCGGTGCGTACGTAAATATTCAAGATCGTTCAAATGACACCCCATTAATACATGCGGTGAAAAATGGGCATCGTAGTGTTGTTGAATTGCTGCTAAAGCGTCACGTCGACGTTGACATTCATGGAAAAGATAAGAAAACCGCATTGTATACAGCCGTTGAAAAGGGTCATGCAAAAATTGTACAACATTTGTTAACATCGAATCCGGATTTAGAGTTGGCAACAAAAGACGGCGATACACCGTTATTACGTGCCGTACGAAATCGTAATTTGGAAATTGTTCAAATGCTGTTGGATCGTCGGGCTAAGGTGACAGCAACAGATCGACGTGGCGACACCGCTTTGCACATTGCGATGCGTGCACGTTCGAAAGCCATCGTTGAAGCATTGCTTAGAAATCCAAAGAATAGTCAACTATTGTATCGTGCGAATAAAGCGGGCGAAACGCCGTACGCATTGGACAATGCACATCAAAAAACGATATTGGGACAAGTGTTTGGCGCACGTCGTCTCAATACAAACGAAGACTCGGAAGGGATGTTGGGCTATGAATTGTATTCATCAGCCGTGGCCGATGTTTTGAGCGAACCAACGCTTACAACACCGATTACCGTTGGTCTGTACGCTAAATGGGGCAGCGGCAAAAGTTTTTTACTCGCCAAACTACGTGATGAAATGAATATGTTTGCACGTCAATGGGCCGAACCACCGATACGAGCACCATGGCTGTTGATCATCGTTTGTTGGCATTTATCCGTGTTAATTGGAAGCGTCGTTGGATTGGCCACATGGTCGTACATTTATGGAACAGCATCGGCATTGATTGCACTCAGTTTTTTCTTTTTCTCATTGCAATTGATTAAATTTGTTAATAATCATTATGATTTCTATTGGCCGTACGCTTTTATGAATGGTGTTATGAGACGTTTGGGACGTTTACGTTTGATTTTACAAGTGGCATTCTGTCATCCGCCCGGTCCGCAGAGTAGTTCACAGCCGTTACCCGTACGTTTTCATTTTGCCGAAGCAAATCAGGCGAGCCCAACCGGTGAGATGGCCATTGCCGGAATGCTGATTTCTCTATTTGAAGCGATCGAAAATCATTACGGAGCATTACCAACCCGATTATATAGAGCATTCAAACCGAAACCACTGAAAGCATCGGCCAGTTGGCGATGGCGACGTATGTGTTGCATACCATTGGTTTTATTATTCGAAATTGGATTTTTGGGTCTCATCTCAATCGCAACCATACTTATCATTTTCGGACACTCACAAGACGTTGCCACACAGTATGTAATCTTTTTTCATCTTTCGATGCGGCACATTTCACAATATTTCTTTTTTGTAAAACTATTTGCAGAAGTGGACTCTGTTTGGCATTGTACATAATCGGTGGTATTTTAATAGCTGGTACACTAGCAAATATTCATGCATGGGCAAAGGCACTTTGTTCACTATTCATTTCACAAAGTCGCCATCTAAAGAAAGCGCTAAAGAATAACGAAGGAGCACCGTTGACGGCATTGGGCGCAGAAGTTTCATTAATGACTGATATGGTTAAGGTTAGCATCACTTTACAAATTAATTGTGTTTTTCTTTTGTTCTAATCGATTGTGTCTATATTGTTTCAGTGCCTGGATGCATTTACAAAGCAACAAAGTCGTTTGGTGGGAATCGTCGATGCATTAGATTCATGTGATACAGAACGAATAATAACGGTATTGAGTTCGATACAAACTATATTATCGTCACCAAATCGTCCGTTTGTCATGCTATTGGCGGTTGATCCGCATGTCATTGCCAAAGCGGCCGAAGCGAATAGCCGTCGATTATTCACCGAAGGTGGTATTGGTGGTCATGATTTTCTACGGAATTTAGTTCATTTACCAATTTACTTGCAAAATTCGGGACTGCGTAAAGTGCAACGAGCCCAAAATACGGCCATGCTATTTCGACGAAATGTGCTCGATATGCAAAATGAAGACGGACCAATTCTGAATCATTCGCAAAGCGTTCGAAAACTATCAAATGCATCCGAAATTATGTCGAGCAATGAAAAATTACGACAACCAGTCAATCCACCGCGAAATAGTACGAAGAAATTACGTGTATCCGATTCGATTGCCAGTTCAATTGGTTCGAATTTGCATCGCATCAGCACAATGCCAACGGGACCCATTGACTTATCGGTATGATATGGAATTGATGATTTAAGACGACAGTATATTTACATTTTTTTGTTCCTTTTTGAAATTTTCAGCGGATTGTACTCACCGATGACTACTTCAGTGACGTTAATCCGCGCAGTATGAGACGTTTGATGAATGTCATTTACATAACTGGTATGATCGAAACATTAATGCAGAAGCATCAATCAAATATTCTCAAATTTGTATTTGTTTTTTGTTCAATATTTCAGTGCGACTTTTGAAAGCGTTTCAAATTGAATTTAGCTGGTATCGTCTAAGCTCGTGGATCAATTTAACGGAACAATGGCCGTTGCGCGCAAGTATGATTGTACTTGAGCACGATTTAAGCGGAGATCAAATTGACGATTCAGTGTCACTGCAAACACTCTACGAAAAGTAATGAGTTTTTCGTTTTCTTCATATCAAATGATCAATTTGTTTCTAATTTTATTTTGTGTGTTACAGAGTTCGGCCAAAAATTTCGCATTTACGAGACGCGGCTCCATTGCTTGAGCTCGATCGAGATGAACGAAAATTGGAGGCATTTTTGCAATTGCACAAACATGATTTACTTGTAGCTGATTTACGCATCTTTTTACCATTTACCATCAATTTGGATCCATATTTACGAAAAGTGCTAAAAGGTAACACACCAACATTTTTCGACGTTGCTTTTTAATTGGTTCTTAAACGAGTTACCTTGTTTTTCATTTCGCAGAGGATCAACAAGCGCTTGAAGATGAAGGCATTGTAATGTCAGTCAAACCCAGCATTCCACATCCAATTCAAACACGATCACAAATGCAAAATCAATTGCCACACGTTGGAAGCATGACCAATTTTGGTGCCACAAATCCAATGGTTTCAATGTCATCGAATCAAACGATGCTTCCGTGGGCACAAAACTATTTTGGAAATCAAGCGATTGCAACGCCTGGTTTTGTTGCAAACAATTTCCCAGCAACCACAAATCCCAGTGCCACTGAGCCAATGAATCGACGAAAAAGTATCATCGAAAATATTAATCCATTTATTGGCGAACAAAAAGGATTACCGGCAGATTTATTAAGCGCTTTTCCGGTGAGTCATTTTCACAAAAAAAAGAATAGTTCATAATTTTTTTTAATGTTTCAAAATAAAATAAATTTTGTTCCTTCATTCGAATGCAATTCAGGAGGATTTATTGCATGTTCGTTTATCGAAATTGTCTGTCGAAGGTCTGACGGCGCTATTGAAGGAAATTGAAGAATTAGAACCGGCATTCGACCGTTTGGCACGTGCACTGCAAGAGAATGCAATCAGTGGACGCGTATTAATGCATTGCGATTTAATTGAATTAAAATCATTGCTGGCCTTAAGCTTTGGCCATTGGGAAATCTTTCGTTTGTTGATCAATTGTTTGCGTGACATTGAGAAATTACAACCGGCCATGAAATTAACCGAAGTCGATTCGATTCCACCAACATTCCAGCGACAAAAATCAGTTATCGAGAAGCAGGTGAATGTTTAGATTCTTTTTGTTTCGGTTTTGGTCGAGCAGGGATTATAAATGGTTGAAAATCTCCTCTTAAAAAAATACATTTCATTTCTTTTTAACGCTTTTCATAATTGAGCCATATGCTATTCAAATTTGATACAAAAAAAAAATGAAAAAAAAAATCAGACTATCACACAACATTAATATTTGCACGAACAAAATTTTGTACTTTTTTACGCTGGAATGCAGCAAAAACTTCATGATTACGAGTTTCAGCAGGTAAATTTGCACAAATATTGAGGTGGCGCTTACAATTATCGCTTGCTTTCATTTGAATTTACTTCATTTTTTATTTGAATTTCTTTTTCATCATCATTTTCTCACTTACTTTAATTTAGTTCTGGGTAAAATTTGATCGTTTTTCGACCGTGGCGATCGAATTAGTTTTAAATTTGTCTTGATTTTATTTTAATTTCTGTTCAAAATTCACATTTTTAACCTATAATTTTTTCGATGTATTTTAGGTGACACTTGAAGAGCAGATGATTTGTGGCGCATTGCAGACGTTGAACGAAGAGGCATTCGAAGATGTGGTGGCTAGTGAACGACCAAGCCCAACAGGTGGCCCATCGACAGGTGAGACGATTGCACTTACACCAATACAAGAATCGGCGGAAAATGAACGTTCGTTAGGTTATTCAAATGATGGCACAACAGATCGTCTTCAGTTAAACAACATAAGCTTTTCCACCAACATCGGCAGTTACAATAATAATAATAATAATAATAATAATAATAATAATAACAATAACAACAATAACAACAACAATAATAGTAGTAGTCATAGTTTTAGCATAAGCAGTACCAATAAAAATAATAGCATGGTTACGGCGGTGGCTGATAAAACCAATAACAGTTATGCAAATGATATAAAAATGAATAATTTGTCGGGACTAAATGTGCACGAGCAAATGCAATCACATGTTAAAACCATAAGTAGTATCATATCACCGCAAGTGTTTGATCATAACAATCATACTGCCATTTCGATTGCTTCAACATCATCGTCATCATCGTCTCCATCATCGTCTACTGTCATTCTGATGCCCGATGCCAAAGGCAAATGCCCTGATACCAAAGTATCCATTGATGATACACGCTTGTAAAATATGATCTCCTCTGCCCAACACATTCATTATTTCCATCACTGCTTGAATGTGTCGTTTATATGTTCATAACAAAAATGGCCTGTTCGACATTCTGTACAAATATCATTGGTGGTTCAGTGCAATGAAATGTACGCACATTTGTACGTGTGTTGTCTCTGTGTATTTGTTTCTTTTTAATATTCACTAATTGTGTTCTTTTATTTAATTAATCCATCGTTCATATTGGATTTTAATCAATTTTTTGTTCTTTTGGTTTTAGTTTAATGGAAATGTGTGTAACATACACAAATAATAAAATTAGATATTTCTTTTTAATTCATAAATATAGCGAAAAACACAAAGAATTTGAATATTTTAACGATGGAATATTTAATCGATGTATTTTTGTTCAATCCAATTCTAAGTCATTGTAATTAGATACTTTTTTGTTTTGGTACCTTCATTTATGTGCGACTTTGATAATCGTAAGATCAATTTATTTCGAATAAATATGCACTTCATCTCTCTTTTTTTAGCATTGGATACTGTATATCAAATATATATATAAGAGCTCTAATTCAAATGAATTGTGTATAAGTTACTTTCTCATTAGCTCAAAACCAAAGACGATTTGACTACAATAAATTTGTAATCCAAAAAAAGAAAACGAAACCTATTCCAATTTAAGCGAAATCGTTCGATTATTATAAGTTTTTTATTCTCGCACGCATAGTGTGAGTGAAATTCCATTGGAAATTTGTTGTATCAATACAATGTGTCTGGCATCTCAGCATTAGAATGAAACTTTTAATGTTCACAATCGCTTTTGATTACACTGTCACTTTTTACACTGCTCAAAAAAAGCGCTTTCTTACCTGCACGAAATTGTAGTTTTTTTTTTTTTTGGGAATTTAGAGTAAGCTGTAGATGATAGTTGATCTTTTTTTTAAAAAAAGGTTGTAGGTGTCGACTTTACATAATTTTAGTGGGAATAAATGGTATACGCATGTTTGCACGAAACAAAACGGTGCTTGGGTATTTGGGGTGTTTTTTGTAATTTTGTCATGGAACCTATACGTTTACCTCAAGATCATAGCGGTGATCAACTTTTTTTTGCTAGTAAATCACCGATGGAGTCTATTATTTGGTTCTCTTTGGCACCACGAATTTCATGATATTATGGTGTCCATAAGTCCAACTAAGAAATACTTGAAAATGGTGCGATCAATGTTGAAGCTTCTTCGAATTCTGAACACTGCTATGATCATGATCAGTGGATCAGTGTCAAGTTGTGACTTGAAATTTTCTGAAAAAACTGACAAGTCATGAAAATCCAGCAATTTAAAAAGTCACGATTCGATTTGGCTAGTAGAAACTTTCGTATGGCATATGGTATGTTTAAAAGGCTTTGCAAGTAACTAATATGGTATGATCATATTGATTTAAAGGGATTATGTTAAAATAATGGTAGTTTCTGCTATTGGTTTTATTAATTTAAATGTGGTAAAAGCGCTTTAGTCAAACAGGTAATTTAGATAAAGACAAAATCGGTCTATTCAAGTTAACGTGCACAATTTAATAGCGTGCTATAAGTTGTTTGTGAAAATAGTTGCTTGATAACATGATTTTATATGCCACACTATGCAAACTTTTTTCCATCATACCTCATCCTCATGATCTTTTTTTTTTTTTTTTTTAATTTTTACAAAATAAATCATTCATTGAAAATAATAATCAAATCGAAATTCAATTCGAAATCTTTTCTAGTGCCTTAGAATTGAAGCAGTGTAATATTATTCATTTCTTGATTTTTTTTTATAAGTGTGAAAGAACAGAATGATCATCGCTCTTTCACTCTCATAAAAAAGTAACAGAGCTGTTATCGGCACCATAAGTGCCCGTTATTCCATATAATTTTTGAAGCGCTACACTTAAATACAGGGAAGAGCAGTATTTCAATAAAAAATACGCGCACCTCTGTCGTGTATCCATAACAGCTCTGCAAAATCTTTCGAATAATTTCCAAATATCACATCATCATGTCACCATTTTTTCGGTTGAATTCATTTGTAAATTTTACATAAAAATGTTCATCACTCATATATGTCAAAATAAATGCACACTATCAAAAAACCATTTACACTATTTTCCGAACTGAATTGGCGTTCATTCTTCTTCTTGTGTTTGTTACATATTTTCAAATTTTCGTATTTATTTAAAAAAAAAATAACTCAAACAAAAACCACCAACAACAATTTTTTTTCTTTTGTTTTATCTTCTAATTCTCTTCACCGTTCAGATCTTAGCGATTATCCTTTTCCATCGATTAGTGCATGTCCATCTCTTGCAAGTTCACCGGTAGTAGCACGCCGTGATTCAATTCTGAAGCATTCGGGCAGCGTAAAGAATACCGATCGTCGAGTGTCAATTAAGCAAAATCAACCGATTGTTGTTGAATATTTGTGTGAAAAGCGACAACCGTCAAGTGTACAACAAGCGGCAATGGTGGCAATGGCACCGACAGCAGCAACCAGCGGACAACAGTCAACGAATGGATGTATGGGTAAAACACAAGCGAGACCAGCTTCATTAATTTTAACAAAAGGGGATAGACCGACATTTAAATTGATTCGAACCCCGTCATTTGATCAGGAACATGATGATGCAACAGTAGTAATCAATGCCAACATAAATTTTACAGATTCAGGTGCCAATCAACGAACGATACAACCAAATCATCATTTAGTTGCAAGCGATTTGAATGCCAAAGACGATGACGACGAAGATGAATCGGCACCATTGGTGCAATGCACAAACAACAAAGAATTAACCAAAATCAATAGTTCAAACAATCATTCATAGCACTCAAAGGCCGGCTCAAGAGAACGAAAACAACAACTTTCACATCCGATAATTCATTTCAGTTGGCACACGTAAAACATAATGTTTAACACGTAATGCCACGCTTAATGTAAATAGATTTAAACAAAAACAAAAACACAAACACAGTGATTTTAATTCAAAACAAAGATATAGAGTAGTAATTGTTAATTAAATGAAAATATTTTTGCTATTACACCAATGTTTGATAAAAAAAAATTATAGCCAATCCAATTTTAAATTTAAAACACACAAGTTACATAGTAACATCGAGACACACATACTTATTTATATATAGTTTCCCTATTTTCGGCTTCACACATACCTAATTGAATACACCCAAGCGGTAGTTGTGGAATGAGATCTCTGTGTGCCCAGTTTGAAGAATATTAGAAAAGATCTTCATGGTGAAAAAAAAAAAAAAACATGACATCTTACATTGTTTGATTAGAAAAGAGATTCGTCGAAATTTGATTAACGCCCAAACTGCATAGAGATGATTCTGAAACGAATTTGACTCTCTACCTTGTATCTCTTAATTTTGTTCAACAACAAACCAAAAATGCAATTTTCAAAAATAGTTGAGTCCATCTCATGCAGTAAATGGCGGTAATCATTTTTTAAATTAATTTTTGTGAATTTATGGACATGAATAGATCACATTTTTGGTTTGAGGCTTTTACTATAAACTATTAATCAAATCGATGGAAAAAATTTAGCAGTCAGAGCAGCTTTCTCTGCTATTTGGTTACGAATGTTATTGATGATAATATTGATGAAGGATATATTCCATCACGTAACGCATATTTATTGAAATAAAAATAGATTGAAAAGAAGTACTTAGTATGCACCGCTCGGTGCACACGCTCATTTGACTATATGAACTATACGGATTTACTGAATCGGCAGCAGATACTATGACATTCAATTTTTTGGCACTTTTTATGGACGTTAATCAAATGCTTCCATTTCACTTTTATACATTTACTTAGCACTATTTAACTGATTTATTTCGTTGCTACACTTTAACGGACGAGAAATTTTTACTCACAGGTAGATGCGGGCACCTTTTTTAGGTAGAAATAATTTAGAAGGACATACGTATGAGTGGTGATTATGTGAAGACGAAGCATAATGAGCACATTTAATTTTGATGTTTTTCTGGTGTGTATGTGCGTATCTTATGGTGAATTGAATGTGTTTTTTTGTATCGATTAGATAAATACCATTTAAACGGAACGTTTTAAAACGTTTTTGTGATGCAGATTAACCTTGTTAAAATGAAACTATAGTGATTAATTTGAATAGAAAATGTTCATTTATAAAGAGACAAATTAATGGTCAATTTTTGCGAAATGAATTCAATAAAAACAAATCAAATATTTTATTGTAAACATGTGGGTGTTTTATTTTTCATTGACTTGTTCGATTTTGTTCCTAGTTTTTTGGCTTCGTACTCAAAATTTCTACACTGGGTACCAGTACACTGACTACGGTTCTGTGATTACGTAAGTTTTGTAAATTTTGCACAAGCAGCTGCTAAGATTGGCAACTGAGGTTAACTTCATTCTAAAAAAAGTAATTAATTTTGTTCGTTTTTAAAGTCAAACAAAACGCAAATATTAACTTGATAAAATAAAAACCGTACATTTATTATCATTTTTTGTTCAATTTTGTACATGCTTTCGTCGTATAATTATTAAATAATATTATATAAAAAAATGTCTACGTCTTAATATTCTAATAACCATCCTCGTTTTGTCACTAATTTCTTCGATTATTGGCACCTCCTCGGAATGGTCGTCGGTTTGGTATAAAGCGTCTGTTGTACATTGGAGGCATGGGATGGAAATAACCATGTGGCGGCCCGTATTGAGGTCCGTATGGCATTGGCATTGGACCCATGGCATGTGGTGGCATAAACGGCATTCCATATGGCGGTGGTACCTACAATAATTGAAAATTTAGATTAAAATTTCACTCTAAATCAAATAATCAATAAAATTATCGGAAGCTACAAGAGATCAAAGAATACTTACATGAACAACGATAACTTTTGGCGTCTGATCTGTACTACTTGAGGGTGATCGTGATGGCCGTGAAAAACTTGACTGAGGTGGTGTTGTTTGTTGCTGTTGTTGTTGCTGCTGCTGCTGTTTCTGTTGTTGTCTTTGTTCGTAGCGTTCTTTCTTATATTTTTGGAAGCGCTTCCACCGTCTAACTTCTCGTTGAGACTTCTTCCTTTCCTTTTGAAGTAGTGCTCGTTCATTTACCATGCGATCACGTTCTCTTCTCAAATCTTTAAAATATGGCGTTTCATCTTCATCATCCTAAAAATAGAAAGAAGAGAATTGGTTAAACATATATAATATGGTTGAATGCTTTTCAAATAAACTGTTAAAAAGATTAATTAACTTACCGATGAAGAAGATGATGACGACGACGACGAAGAGGATGATGATGATCTGCGCCGCCTATAATTAGATTGATTACGTTGCTGATTTCTATTTCTGTACTCAATTGCGCAGCTCGTATCCGAAACAGAACTTCCGATTCCTGATGACATAGTGTCTTGCAGCATATCGATATTGCCTATTAAAGAGATAGTAAAGATTAAAAACTCATAAAACACTCTTTTTACCTAAGATATTTTGATTTGTTTTTTTAAACAAAAAATGAATCTCTCTAATGCTTAGAATAAAAATAATGTTAAACTTAAGTTGATTGATATATTATTGGAAACAAAAAAAACCATCATATGATAAGAATAAAATTGTTGTTATTATTAATTACCGTAATTAACTACCTAAGTAAGTAAATTATAAAGAGAAAAATAAAAAATAACTCAAATTACCTGCTGTTAGATTCAATGTATCGTCATCTGAAATTTCAATATTAGCTAAAACCCGATGAGAATTTGCTCTTGACGATTGCATTCTATAGATAAAAAGGGAAAATAAAAAATATCAATGATAATTTTGTGTAAAAAATTGAAATTTCCAATTTTCAAGGAATTTTAACTTCTTTCCGCAATTTTTTTGTTATTATGTAAATGAGCTTTGGAAAATTAAAAAATGACCAAATAATTTCCAAATCCCAACCTAGAAGGCCTTTTTCCCCGTATGGTTGGAAAGCCCTTGGGCCATAGATTAAGGAAAAATGAAATTTGAAAATCGGCCTACTTGTCTTCAAAATATGATCCTTTCAAGAAATGAGTCAAAATTCAGTTCTACGGCAATAGCTGGCAATAAATGAGGTCGTTAAACTCTGAAACATCGATATTCTGAATCTAGAGATCAATACCTTTCCAACGAAAAAGTAGCTCCTATTTTTCTCCAAATAATACTGCAACATGAAGTTTTTTTCACACGGTTTATTTGTTGTTATACAACAAATAAACTATTCATAAAAAACTTTATATTGCAGTATTATTTGGAGAAAAATAAGAGCTTCTTTATCTCCGCAACGATTCATATGGCCTTCGATAGTGCAAATATGGCCAAAATGGTCATTTTTTCATACGGTCACTGTGGCGCCTCAACTTGACATACCGAGGACATATGCATATCGTTGTAAAGGTCTTCAAGTAAGCTATCCGATTTCAACTTAAATAATTCAAGCGCTTAAAAAACTATTGATATAAAATTAAAAACCTCTATCGAGGTGAAGAGCGAGTGACGATACCAAAATTTGAAACAGAAAATTTCTGATTTTGTATCAAATATTTTAAAATAAAACACAATTTGTTTTAAGTATATTGCACCTTATTGACTTTGCCAATTTAATTTTAAAAAATTCTATCAATTTTATGACGAAAATAGTTGTTATATATTTGTATATTCGGAACGTTGCTTCATTGCGACAGTATGAACTCAAAGTAAAAAGGGAGATATTTTGGAAAGGTTTTAAATATACAAATATATATTAAGTTTTTATTCACAGTACAGAAAAAATATCTACCAACTATTTACGTCAAAAAATTGATATCAGAAATGTTGTGTTTCAAATTTTGTTTTCGTCACTCGGTCTTCACCTCGATAGAGGTTTTTTATTTGATTATACTTACTTTTTATTCATGGCCATGGCAAAAAGTTCACTCTACACCAAATTAATTTTTAAAAAATACCACTTTAAAATATTGCGAAGAAAGTATCACTTGACTAAACTGCAAATATGAACTGATCACGAAGTACAAATATGAACTGGTCAGTGAGTGTATGAGGACACTTAAAGTAAAAACCATTACTACTACTACCTCTTGTATTTTTTTCGTTCTATTTTTTTTTTTTTGTTACAAATTACTCCTCCCCTCTTTGCAGAAATATGTAAAGGACACGCAAGCTTATTGGCGATTTTTATTTTTTACTCCTGTCACAATGGATTTCATTTGCCAAATGATGATTCTGATAATATTTAATTTTTTTCGAAGAAATTACTAGATTACGACTAAACTGATATGTGCAAAACTATAATAAAAAAAAATATTTTTTTTTTTTCAGATTTGTAATGAAAATATTTTTTCACCGACCAATCTCATGTAGAATATCAAAATATTATTTAGAATTATTCACCAATTTGTTGTGAATCAAATGGCATCAAATTATTTTCTAAAATATGAAAACCGAATGAAAATTGATCAGTTCAGGTAAAAAAATCTGACTTTAGAAAAAAAAATCGAGAGGCTGTACACATACACGGACATTTTATGGGGTTGGGCTATTTATGCAAATTAACGTAACACCACGATGTTCATTTACTGCAATATTCAACAACACCCAATGCACAGTAGCCGTAGTAAAGGTCAAATTTGTATCTATTGTCTTTCAGTTTTCTCTCTTCTTTTTTCGTTAAACAAACAACAAATTAAGAGCCATATCTTATGTAAATTTTTTCAACGAATTTTCGTACGCTCATTTCTTCATCCATCATTTCGCACAATATACGGAAGGCAATGTGTTTATGCGTAAAATGTGTGTGTAAAAAACCATACTCAAGTATTAGGATGCGAAGATGAGAAAAAAAGGAAATATTTGGTTCACCGTTTATAATCCTTGAGGATTAAGTTTTATGGTATGTCCAACTAATCCCTAGTTCGTTAAGGAAAATAAAGTCAAGTGGCTTGCATGCAATTTGCGATGCAGATTTTCTTTGCAAACACAGGGTCAACCGAAAAAGACCAAGACAAATCAATAAAAAATGCAAATTCGTTGTTTGAAGAAGAAAAAAAAACGTTTTTCTGACATGTAAATTCTCTTCAATGTGCACAAATATGGAATTTAGTGCAATCGCCATGCTCAGATGGGTCATTTACAATACGCATTCGTTATGTTTTATGGTATGCGGTTTAAATCCCATGTCAACAAATCATAAAACTATATAGCACTACTATAAACTAGACAAGAAATGTCCTTTGACGACATCACATTCGTCGGTTTTGAGCTTTAAACTCAGTTTTTTTTTATTTCGAAATTTTTTGATTTTATTTTTTGTGTGTCACGTAAAAAATATATAACAAACTCATTTTTATTGAAAATAATTACGAGTACAATATAATATGCACTGTGGTCAGTCGCAATTCGTCATCAAGCATTTTGCCATTAAAATTTTTCGTTGTTGCAAAAACAATTTCTGTATATTAAATAAATAAAACCCGTTATATATAATATCGCCGTTAATCGGATCGTCCTTATCGGTTCTCGCGTAAAAAAACTGCTCTGGCCTGAATGGAGAGAGAGGAAAGAGAAATAAAATTGAGCTATCAATTTTTTATTGTTATTTTGGTGACATGATCAATTTGCTCTTAATTTGCGCATGAGTAGAAAAAAAAATGGAAAAAAAAACCAAAAATGTTCAAATGATAAAAACCTACCTTTACCGCAACGAAATAGTTCAAAGAGATCTCATGTTGTCTATCGTAGCTGCATTACGTTGTGTACGTACCGGTTTAAGGTACCGATTATACAAAATATTTTCAAATTTGTGATACATACTTCCTTCATCGCTTTTTAACAACATCGATTCAAATTTATCGATGACATAATTCAGATACAGATTTTTTTCAAACCTATAAAAAAAAGTGATGAAAATTAAATTCATGTTACATGCTTCAATTCATGTTTGATAACAACTTACAAGGTAACAATACGTTCATGAAAATTAAAAATTACACAAATTAGATCGTTCGCATATGATGCTAGTATGGATTGCTGTAGCTCTGCAATTCTCGTCGAGATACTTGGAATAAATTGCGAATTTTGGTATTTAATTTCTTCGAACATATTCAATACACGCCTAGTAAATTGATTGATTAGCCACTCAATGTCCGTTCCCTCCAACACTTTTCTGCAAAATATTCCGAACAAAAATGTCATTTTGTATATCGTTTGTGTCAGCTCAAACGCTTACCGATGCATATTTAAACAATTTATCTGTTCACATAGTATTTCTTCCGACACATTGTCGCCTTCTAAATTTGCTGGCGTATTTTCAGATATGGACGAATAACGGAACAGTTTTAGATTGTCAAACCTAAATAACAACCAAGAGAATTTTCAAACCTTAATTTATAAATTGATTGGAACTAATATTAAATATTGCCTTTTTTATCGAGAACATTTTCAAACTCTCACCATTCCATAATTAATCCAAATAATAATCTCAATTCTTCCAAGTTTGTCTTATGTGATACTTCGAATATATGCTTTTGAATTTTGTCTAGGATTTTTTCCACGTCATTTTTTAAACTTTGCTGTAGTTCAATTATATATTTAGTCATGTTATCTACTTGAAAATAACCGAAAAATATCCCAAAATCATTTAAGAGAAAAAACAAAAGCAAATTTGTACACGAAATACTCACTTGATATTTAAATTTTCGTTTTCTTTTCAGTTTTCTCTTCTCTGCTGTAATTGAATGTCATGTAATGTTCGAATATATTTTTTTTGATCGAAGACGAATGCAAAAATTGTGTGTTAGCTTGAGCAAATGGAAACTTAATGACAAAATGGCGCGAAATCAAGAAGCCCAATTTGCAGTGAATAACCAAATTTTATGCATACATACATAAATGATGTATTGAAAAGAATTGAAATTTGTCAAACACCAATATAGAGAAGAATGGATCCCATAAAGGAATTAGAAATAAAAATTGTGATACTATTGAATTCGTGTAATGTCGATACTCGACAGGCAAATACACCATAATTTCAACTCATTCTGCTCACATTGAATTGTTTTTATGTGTGCGTCGCATTCAGATGCGCATTCATTGTGATGAACAGTGCATATTGAAAAAATGCCGCTTCGCTCAAACCATAATTTCACTAACACAACTGTGTGACAAGTGTCAAAGATTTGGATTCACATTTTAATTAGAATATTCGTTAAAACTAAAGTCGTAATAGATTAGCGTTAGCAAGGCACACCAGCTGACAAGTGTGATTTTATTCATTTCACCAAATGCCCTTAAATTGCGTTGTTCTCCTGACGTTGTTAAATTTTGCACATTTTTCGTGAAGAAAAAAACGATTTAAACGATCGGAACATTATTCACTGTATTGTGTGTATAATTGTTGTGATCAAATTTTGACGAAATTCTATTGAATCAGATGAAAACGATGACGAATGAAACAGAATTCGAGAGATTGGTGTATTCACCGACCAGCGATGCAACCAGCGAATCGGACAAATTAAGTGAAGTAATTATGATTTTTTTTATTTTATTATCGAAGGATCTGCGTGGCTACATTTTCAATTGAATTTCTCCATGATTATCTGTTTTCTACCAATTGATTTCTGATAAAAAAAATTTGTTTGTTTTATTCAATTGACATGTCTCTGCAGTCTCGTGGTGGACGAAATATTCGTAAAGGTCGTAATTCAATCAAACATGAAAAAAGCGATGCACCTCGACGTAGTCAACGCATAAGTATGATAAATAAGATTAAAATCGAATCAGTGTCAGATTCAGAGCAAAACGACATCACGGTAATTTAGTTGAAAGTATAAAAATGTTTGTTTTTTTTTTTAAATTTACGTTTAAAAAATTGTTCTCTTTTATTTTCGTCGTATGCAGATGAAATTGAAGAAAAGTGATGTTAAGAGCACCGATCTTCCTTATTCGGATAAATCAATTAGAATTGGAAAAATCTTGGGCGCCACAGAAATCAATGATGAACTCAAATTTGTGTTCAAATGGACAGACGAAGATAAACTATCGATTGTGTCATCGGCAGAAGCGAAAATGAAGTATCCATACGAGGTTATGGAGTTCTATGAAAGCCGCATGCAATGGGAAACAGACGATGAAGGTGTCGATGATGATGACAAGACCGACAACTACAAACGACCACTAAAACATTAATAGCCAAACATTTACGACAAACATACAGAATGCCTTCTTTTTCATTTAATTTACACAGAATTTTCATAACCAATAACTTTCGATATAAATGGACCAGCGAAGAGAATGAAATTGAATTTAACAATATCTAGAATTAATTTGATTGCTTGATCGAACATGCACTGTTTTAATCCGATTTTTTTTTAGAAAACAAAAAAGATTATAATGAATATGTTTTTTATTGAAATTTGTAAACATACCGACTGTCAATGACGAGAAAATGAAATGACAAAACAAATCAAATGGAATTTTATCTCATAAGCGGAATGAAAAATAAACAAATAATAATTTTGAAAAAACAACGCCAGCAGTGCTTTAAAATCTTTCAATGAAATGTTTTATAAGGATTTTGTTGAAAATATCTTAACTTGAATTATCATATGATGAACTATGAATGATATGGTTCGATAACCAATGTGAACATCGTCAGAAGAAAACAGAAAACTGGTCTTATGGCAAGACTTGAACTAACAATGATAAAAGTGCAATCTTCTTTGTGGAACCTTTTATTTTTCGTGTTTTTGGAATTTACAAACTTATTATGCTCATTTTTATGTTTTTTAAAGAATCGTTTTGGTGTTAGAAGATTTTGAATTTTTTTCTTATTTACAATCTATAGATACGCTATAGCGTATTTGTCACTTTAATGTTGATTTGTTTACAGATATCTTTTAAATAAAATCAGCGAAATATCACATGTTGATTGGAAAGAATTGTCATCGACTTCTGTTCCATTGTCAATTGGCTCCGCCCTGCTGTTTATTACATTGTCTCTTGGCTAGAAAAGGAATCGAATTAGACGGTTTATATCAAAATAAAGCGATACTGCAAATTTTTAGCCAACTAAATGTACCGATAAAATTATCACAAATAAAAAAATCTCCGATTAAAATCCAAAATTGAATTAAATGGATGAATGATAAAACACACCTGTTGTAACTGTGAGCGACAGATCAGTTAGGTATCATTCGATGTGCATCTTCAATGAGTTTGTCAATGTTACGTTGGAATGTCGATACCCATGAAAGTCTGTAAATAAAACGAAATGGAATCGTGGTCGTGCGGGAAAGAACAAATAGTAACTTACATTTTCGAACGATATTTTATGCAATTTATAAATGCATTTAACGCAAAATCACTGTTATCTTTGATCGCTACTGTTTCTAGCTCCTTACGGATCTTATCTTTATAATTCTTGCTAGCAAATATACAATGAACATGATTAAAACCGACATTAAATACGTTCAAATTTTTACTTACAGCGATTCAACATATTCCATAGTCAAATACAATATTTTTTCAAATGTATCAATTCGTCTGTCACCGTCTTCTGCCACGTTAATCATGCCAATTATTAGCTGCAGTTCGAAATTTAAATAATGCGGTGTTTCCATGGGTGTTTCTAATTTTTCTAAAGCTATGTACGAATTAATAAAATTGTATTTGATTTGAATTTCAATTAGTATTGAAGTCCGAATTTTAACGTGTTTGCAACACAATACAAGCACGAATACATACCATCAATAATTGTACTATGACTATCAGGTGAATATAATGAAAAGTTTTCAGCAGAATTGTCAGCCTGATTGATGTGTGAGTTACAATAATTTCGAAAAGAAGTTAATACTTCTTTTCGAGCAATATCGGGCGTTAGCAAAACTTGTATCAACTTATCGATGGCATTCAGTTCAATCGATTCAGTCAATTGATTCTTCAATCTATGTTCAATTCTTTGGAAAAGAATCTATAAAAAAATCAAATTCATTTACAGTGATTTCTGTTCACTTACCGAGACCACAGTAAATTTTGTAAGAATGTGTGGAATTCAGCGGGAACCTCGAACGGAAGTTGTTTATAGAATTCGCACATCATCGTTCTGGTGTTGGTACTAAAATAGTTTAGGCAACTAGGGGTATCATCTAAGTTATCTAAACGAAATGAAATGTATAACAAATAAATGGAAAATGTATTTCTTGAACATTCTGATAGTTTGTTATAAAAAATATCCATTTTACATTTATCTTTTTGAGTTGAGACACCAGAGTGAGAAAGTGATTTTTTTTCTGTTTCATCATGATTAATCCTTTCCATATCTATTGGATTGGAGCTAAGTCTCGCTCCTTTACCTTTTTTTACCATTTTTGATTTTCGCATTTTCCGCTTAACCTAGAAAACATAAAAAAGTGTGCAAATGATAAATACATTTTGTATATTTTAAAAAAAATATTTTATGTGCATTGAATTAATATGAAAAAAATGTGAACAAATCATACACACTTTTATTTTCAATTTTTTTCGTATCCTGTTATATAGTGGGTTTCGTCGGTGTTTCCTGTTATCGCTGCTTTTAAATGGCGATTTTTTCTCGATTTCTTCAGAAAAACGTTTGTCAAATATAGAAACATGCGAAATTTTCATTAAAAGCCTTTTGGAATCGATTGTTTTGCTTCAAAAAATATTATAATTATTTCTTTCTTTTGCGGCTTGATTCTTTTTTCTACCTTTTATAACAAAATCAAAAGTGATTCGGAAACAATGTTTCAACTTAAAATCCGGTGTACAATTGTACATAGTATGTGTTGTGTGATTGTGTGTTTGAATATGTTCTACTTACATGTTGATGGTGTTCGTTGGTTTCGATTCGTGTACAGCGGGTTGCCGTATGACAATTGCCTCTCGCTCTCTTTCTGTGTGTTGTTATAGTTTTAAATGTTTGCTTCTGCTGCTTGTTGAAATATCGCACGCAAACTGACAGCGTTTGACAAATCATCAGTTTCAGACAAATGGAACGAAATACAAAATTCATTGCGTACCATAATGAAATTTTTGAAAAACGCAAATCGATAGAGACTATTTACACTATTTCCCGTCGTATCCGTCTTAGAGACACTCATATCCACGCCGATTATATTCGTTGATGAAGAAAATAGCCTGTGGTTATAAAACTCTTCACTCTTTCAATTTTTTGAATCAAATAATTTTGTATTTTTAGCATTTTTTCACAGTTTGAATCTAAGCTCTTTAAAGCGTCCTTCACTTTTCCCGGCTTGGGAGATTTGAATATTTTCCTAAAGTCATCAACCTAAACGGGGTGAAACAGAAAAGAAAAAATTAAGAAGAAATTAATCAACATATAATGGAACAGAATGGACAAATAGTCGAAAGACTATATCTTTTGAGTACGAATTCTATTTGTGCCGACCTTCTTTCAACATTTTTGAAATGTTCTTCGCTAATGAAAGTTGGCAGCCACGTATCGAATTTATCATCGAATTCTGGATAAATGGATTTCGGTAAATCGTTGATTTGACCAAGAATTTCTTTATATCCTTGGAAAATCAAATTAGTTATCTTCCTCATTCAGTTTGGTGAATCATTTCTCCCAATATTCTGTTCCTCCCATTTCACCAACTTTCAAGTCGGCTGGCACTTTCTGCAATATATATGCAGTAGTATAGTCATCAAGGAAATCAAAAAAACGTGCAAAAGTGCCACGAGTTTCATCGATGTTCGGGATGGCGCTGATGAATTCCAAATTTTTACGAACGATAGTGTATCCCGATCAACATTTCGGTATCGGATCAACATTTTAAATTTGAAAAAACCTTGCGTCAATTCTTACAAAGGGTGGAATTTGAAAAACAAAATATTTATAGCATTATTTTGTAGCAGATGTAGATGGTATATTTTAATTATTTCACATGAAAATCGTACCAGATATGAAATAGAATTTGTACTCGCTGATCAAAAATATTTACGTTATTTGACACGAATCAACTACGTGTGTTGGGATCATAAACGGTTTTGTGATGTCATTTTATTATCAATTGTCATATGCTTTTAAAAGGAAATTTGGTAAATTTTATTACTTCGTGATCAAATTAGATACATTTCTGAAATTGGAAAACAATGGTTTTTGATTGTTCTTTTATTTTTTTTTTCTGTGAGTTTTTACATTTAAAAGCATCGAGAACTTGGCGAATGCTGAGAAAAACTAATAATTAAAACGTAACCACATTATAATTTACTTATATATTTTTTGCTTTGAATGACTCGTTTTATTTTTTATATTATATTTATCGACCAAGGGTCACATGTCTAGTTGCATCAAACAGATTCTAACGATGCTTGAAGGAAATAAATCGCTTTTACTTCGTTCCAAATAATAGTTGAATTTCAGGTTTAAATACAGAGTTTTGTACAAACTACAAAAAACAAATCAATTTACAGAGTATTTCAATTTTGCTTTACTGATTGTTTTTCATTGATGTGACTACGTCGTGATATATATAAATAAAAGAATATTCAATTTATCCAGTGTTTAAATTTGGTTTATGTCTATTGCCGTCTTCTCACAATGTTAAAGAGATCTACAACGTAGAAACCGTTATTGTACAGATTATGGAAAATAATTAACAAATAATGAAAGTTATGGAAATATATGATGAAAATTAAGTATATAGTTTAAGAGAAAAGTAATGTCAACACATTTGAAACAACATTGCTTGACACCTTACACACTCGGTGTGTGTGCAGAAAAGTCTTGCTTTCACCATATTTTCAAATAACAACAATTAGATGGTAAGAGAAATGAATAGAAAAGTAATTGCTACGTCTGGAACTACTGGTCAATTATGATGGATCATATTAAAAAGGATTCATCTGCGAAAATTACTCAACTCGTAACAATTATATCATTATTACATTGAAATTTAATTGAATAGTGAACATATTCGTTCAGTAAAAGACTTGAGGAAATATCATCATTTTCGGTTTTCCACATCATTTTTTTAGTGTTTGCTTTTCTTTAAAAACAAGGATAATTCAAGTTCGAAAAGTGGAACTGCAGTAGCTCTTTATACAGAATTTTTTTAAAAATTTGCTCACATACATTACACATAACACATTTAATTGCACTCACTCGATTTGTCTCGCGAATTACAATGTATGCTTTGCATCTACTCACAACATTTTATTATTTCAGTATAATTTTGAGTTTTGTTAATTTCAATTAAACATGTTTAGTAAAGAAATAGAATCGCAGCAGGTTTGAAGATGGAATCTAATAGTGTCCCTATTGACGAAAATCTTCAAGTTTATTAAAATCTTATTGGAGCGGATGAATGTTTGTGCTATTTTGTTTACCGTGTTTTGTTTATTTGGTTGAGTTCTGGTTTGATGAAATTTAATGATTTTTCTACATTTTAGATGTCCAATGGTGATTCAATTTATTGGAATAGATATAGATTTGAAAACCGATGAAATGTTTGCTACTCCATTTGAAATTTACAACAAACCACCTCCACTAAAATCGAAGGCAGAAAAAATAAAGCGCCAGCAAGTAGGCACCATAAAAAGTTCTATCTTTTTTTTAAAAAAAGAACTGGTCTAAATCATATTTCCATCCGGATATAATTAAGATCAAATGCCAAAGAAATGAGAGTGTACAGAAATATTGTCCGAATGGAATGTGTCCGGCAAATGTTCATTATCTCAAATGAATTCAAAAACACATGCGCACAAATTGATTGTGATCTCAAATTAATAAATTCGTTGGAATCCCCTTTTTTTATCTCTTCTACTTTTTTCTTTGATTCTCTCTGTCTTTCGCTCTCTTCTCCGAAATGAATTAATAAATGGCCACTTGCCGTTTTTATAAGTGTGGTAAATATTTACGTAAAGCAATTAATATTGACGCCTCTCATACGGTTATAGTTAAATGTGCGCGCCAATGTGCATTGTCGAGTGTGCGTGCGAGACATTCGATTCAATGTACTTAGAAAATATATTTGCAACATCATCATCAGCAGTTAAATACGATGATGAATCAAATTTATAGTATGTTGTTCGCATCACATTTTTATTTTTCAATATATCCGAATCGATGAGCGTGCGCGGTTTGTTTTTATACCACCTGCCTAAACTTGATTCAATATTTGAAATCAATTTTCGTGATTATTGTTCATTTGGCAATTTGTTTGTGGTGTCGAGAGATCAAGCCCTATTCCCGCTCTTTCTCAATTTCTCTGTCTCTCCGCACTACTGGAAACTATCTCTATCGACTACAAATTTGCATTGGCATGCATCACGGTGTGCCTATTGCAATCATTTTTATGACCGTTTCAATTGAAAAGAATTTGAGTGAGAGAGAAAATAAAACACTATCGATAATATCATTAATTGCATTTAGACACTGTCGAATCAACCGCATGCACGATAATAATTAAGGTGCCCAACAATTAATAGCCGTCATTTTTTGTGCGATAGTGTGAGAGACATTGAAAAACAACTCCTGGATAATGTCAATTTTTAATTGAAGCCTTTAAGAGTAAAACGTTACCGCTTTACCACCATTCGGGTAATCGAACCTTTTCCCAATATAATATTCAATGTTCAATGTATGAAATACATGATGTACGTATTTATTGTATGTTAAAACCTCCCTAAAAGTGTTTACCATTTGTTTGTTTTTTTCTTCTTCTTATCTTAATCGTGAACAAAGTGCGCAATCATTGTAACATAAAAACCCATAAAGTCTAATGAGAGATTTGTCACCAGTTCTTAACGAACGCAAATCGTAAACGCAAATGTTGATTTTGTGCTTGAGACACATCATCTGATATCGTCAAAGACATTTCAGTTTTCGATGGGAAAGTGAAAAAAAAGATGTAGCTATTAATCGTGTTCGATCGGCCGGTTTTCTTGACTTCGCATCGAAACAATCGTTAAAATTTTACTATAAAAATTCAATGAACTCCTGAAATGAATCATTCGCAATATTAGGACAAGTTCACTTTCAATTGTTATACGCCAAAAATCAAAATAAATAAACAATCAAAACTAAAGTTGATTGCCAAATCATATACACTGACACGGTGAATCATTCGCATATTCGACAATAGTCTCTTTCTCTTCCGCTGTCTTTTTTGTTTATTTTTGTTCTCTTCTGTTTTGAAATGCCACTTTCAATATCAAATCACTTTAATATAATAATAATTAGTCGATTTTTCCCTTTTTAACCAGAAAAACCCACATACACACAAAGAGAGACTTCTTGTATAAATCACAAAAGATTTATTTACCACGTTACAATGAAGCGTATTTACGCCGCATAATAGCCATTTGAAATGTGTGTTTTGATCAAAAGTTTTTCATCTTCATCTTATTCGGCTGTTGCTATTGTGCATGAATTTCTATTTGGATGCAGTTAATTGTGTATGTGCGTGCGTTTTCGCTGGTTTATGCTTTGCTTTTGTCTTTTATTCCCTGTCGCCGTGTGAGTGCTGGTTATTTTTAGGTTTTTGTTATTGTCTCTGATGTGTACAATATGGGGAATTTGAATGCACTCATGTGATCAAAAAATCACATAAATTTTGCACATTCCATTCATAGTCTCAAACCAAATGGATACTGACACTGGCATATCATATGCATCTCATACGTATAGATCCCGGGTGGTTTTTACCGGATACGGCCTCGTCAACAGGATAAAATGTTTTAAGAATGGAGCGACGATCACGGAGAAAGAGAGAAAGAATAGAATAAAATGTGCAGTTACCATATACAATGGTTGGAAATTTATGTGTGTGCATCCAGCCGAGAAAAGA